AAAAAAAAACCAAAAAAAACTCTCCAAAAGAAAAGGGCGAAAAATTAATTTAAATAGAAGAAGACAAAGTAAATTCCCTGGAAACAGTAATCAATATTTCCATGGCTTAATCCATCAATAAAGGTCTGAAATCCCAGTTATGTGTCAGTTTGAGGCATAAGCAGATAGTTTAATTCATTCAATTAAGGCAGCAAAGAAACTAAAATTAAATGCTCTTTGAAAACTTTCACTTAAAACCACCCACAGATAACAGGAAATCCCACTAAGGCAAAAAAAATATTCCAATCTGGACTCATTCCCTAACAAACCACCGGCTCAGTATTCTACGAAAGCTCATCACCTTGGACAATCCGCTTGCAGCCAGACTTACCTGAACAGGCAGATCCCTAGAATCCATATTAAATTCCATGTGGATTACAGATTAGAGGAATTTTTGTATTCCCTGGACACGGATCTTTTCCACATCCATTGGGGAACAGACTCCAGAAACTCCTGCGCTCCAGGATATCCTACAAGTTTTACAAAGGGACTTTGACCACAAAAGACTTTTTTCCCTCAGGTGTAACATTCCAGCCAATCCCAACAGCCCGGACCCAGACACTCCAAAGTCTTCATTTGTGACACACCCAGATCCAAAGGGCAGCAGGAAATGGTTTTAAATCCTTGGCACCTGGGCAGATTTATTTCTGGATTAGGGAGGGGGACAGAGTCAGGGTGGGCAGGGAGATAGAAAACAATTAGATTTACGTGATTCCCACCCTTCAGGATTAATTAGTGTCTAGCTGGATCTCAAATCCTGTCCGGTAAAAGGTGGGATGGATTTTGTGTCCAAAAATATTGGAGGCCACACCTGCATGTAAAATGTGGGGATTTTTAGTGATCCCAGGTGGGATCAAACACAGGGAGGATTCAAAACCCAAAAGCTCCAGAGCTGCTTCCATTTTTGATTCCTTTCTGTTTTATGCTCCTTCAAATAAAGATAGAAACTCTCCCAAAAAAAGGCTAAAACCTAATTTTAAAAAGGAAAAGAAAATCCCATGGAAATATCAATCAACGTTCCCTGCTCTAAAGCAGCTGCTGTTGGTGTGGGAAACAGGGGGAACCCAAAGTGAAGGACACCTTTGGAGTCTTCTCCAGGGCAGCGAAATGGAATCAAATTCCAGGTGCAGAGCAATCCAACAAAAGCGTGGACTTGGAAAAAAGATATTCTAATGCCAGGGGCTCGGAGAACAGAACACATACATGAAAATGAGGTTGGAATGTGAATAGAAACACAGAAATTTTTGTTTACCTGATACCTAAAACAGAGACTAGGCAAAATTCAGAGAATATAAAGCAGTTATATTTATTGAAGGGCCTTCAGGTACAATCAGGGCAGTCACAGCCCACCCAGGTACAACACCCAAAATGGGTGGTTGGTCATGGATTTTTTGTGCTTTTTAAGTTTTGTCCATTTGCATATTGGGGATTAATCCTCCAATTACAGCTTCAGGTAATTAAGTCATTTACTCCAAGTTTACTCTCCCCAATTCAGTGTTGTTTCCATCTCTTGGAGCCTGAATCAGTGAGGTGTCCTTTAGTTTGGGGCCTGGAGAGGAATTGTTTTGTCTAAAAAATGGAAGAACAGTAGCTCAGCACTGTATGGAGTATGGAGTTATAGACTAAAGAATTACAGGATTACAGATACGTGAAAAATATAGAAGCTAAAATCCGAGGGCATCATACCTTTTCCACCTTTTTACCTTCCCCCTTCTACCTTTCTTTACCTTTTCCCCATTTACTTCACTTATCCCTCATTATCCCTTTTTAAAATTTTCCCAAATGTTCTCTACCTTTTCTCTCCTTCCCCTTTTTCTTTGCCTTTCCCTCCCTCTTCCCCTATTTTTTTTACGTTTCACCCCTTTATTTTACCTTTCCTCCCCTTTTTGAAACTTTTCCTCTTTTCATCCCTTCCTTTCTTTTAACCGTCCCCCATTTTTTAATGTTTGTTTTATTTTTTTCACTTTTTTATCCTTCTTCTCTTTTCCCACCTTATTTTTTCCTTCCACCCTTCCCTCATCTTTTTCCACTCTTTCCCCCTGCCTTGGTTTGAAAGATGGATGCCTGCCAAGGAAGGTGGGGACCTCCCATGGAGCAGTGAATATGATCCCCCGAACTGTCTGAATTATTATAACCTTGAAATCACGGGGCTGTCAGGCAAAGATATGGGAAGAAGGGAATAACAGATCTTTACAGATATGTATGACGAGGCAAACAAACAAACAAGAACAACAGCAACAATACCAAACAAACCAGAAACCCAATGAGAGCCTTCTCTCAGCTGTCAGGCACCCTCCCCTTTGGTGCAGTTTCGGTCACAGCCGGCAGAGGCGCTGTTGGATCTGGGCCCGGCAGAGCGGGTGCGATGATTCCTCCCCGCCGGCAGGGGGCGCTGTGGCGCGGGGTCCCGGCTGGTTTTATCTCTCTCACGTGGTAATGGCTGACACCAGCAGCAGCAAGGGATGGAGAAGGGGCTTCCTTTATGAGCTCACAGGGAGAGCCAATCCTGGCGCCCCTTCTGGATAGCAACAGGAGCTGTAGCAGGAATGTCAGAGCAACAATCTGGGAAGGCAGGTGTGGAGGCCAAAAGCCGGCATTTTTGCTTTGCAGGTTCTGAATCTGCAATTCAGGAGATAACGGTGTATGCCTGAGACCTGGGAAACAGAAGGGAGTTTAACAGCCTGCATGGAGGAGTATGCTGCTGTAAACAACACGACTTTGGCTGACTCTGGGAAAGGGAGAATGGAATGTTGAACTGATAAAACAGATGCCCAAAGACACAAAACATTAACGACACTGCAGCTTTTGCAAACCCACCAATCATATGCTGATGAGTAGAAAAGCAGCTGCTTTACTAGCCAATGTACGTTTGCCACAAATGCGGAAGACTTAGCATATACTTGTTGCTAAATAGATAAAAGGGTCTCAGCCCCATAACAAAGTTGTTGTAGTTGTCTGTCTATTTGTGTCTTTATTTCATGTCACGCAGTCCGTCTCAACAGCGACAGGCAGGGACGAGCAAAGTCATGGATTGGGGGATGAGATGTATCAGAAATTCTGCAGCTGTGGCTGCAACTGTGGTGTCCAGGCAGGGTAGGGGGTGCGAGTTACRGTGTGGCAAAGACACCTAGGAGCAGTGGCAGAGAAATAGTGGGGACTGGGCAGTGGCTCCTAAACATGGCCGAGAGAGACACCCTTGGAGGGGGCTCAGGGACCCCGGGGTTTCCRTGAGGCACCCAAGGAGATGGTGAAGTGTTCTTTGGTGAGGTTGGCTGTTAATAATGTCCCAGTGCAAGCGGCCGCTCTCATGAGCAAATGCTCACCCACGGCAGAGAAAAGCAGGACACTGAGGATGCATTCCCTGTGTATGCTGCACGAGGCTCTAATGGCAGAAATAAAAAGGCCACGACTGGAAAAGTGAATTTATAATACAGCTTTACATGTTTGCCTAATGAGCCTTTAATCACCAAAAAGATGTTTCTATGAAGGGAGAAAAGGAGGATGTGAAATTCAAGTAGAATTACTGGAAGCATAGAGCTTACCCAATGTCAAAATCTCCAAAGGCAACACATAATGACAAGGGTGACTGAGGTACTACAAAATTCAGTTCTCCAATCTGTAACTACTACATCCTCAGATTAGTTTGTATGCTGCTGAATACTTCTACTTACAGGCAAACATCTACTTCCAAAGAGACTTGAAACCATTTTTCTTAGCGTTTTGGAACTCTGTCCCAGAGAGCTTATTGTACAGGGGATACTGCAAGTGACTTATACCACGATGATTGTGAAAAAGGTTCTCAG